TATCAGTACCACGAACTGTACCTTTATTGCTTTTTTTTCTCTCTCGTATATACCGTATTTATTTTGTACTTCATCTGTCAGTTTTTGTAGTTTGATATACAAGCTTATCTTGTTTTAACCACAATAAACAATATTGGAACAGCAATATTTCTTTGTTTGTGAGTTTTTAACGGATAAAGTTGATAAACCTGAACATGCGCCGAACCATGAAACAATCCCTTTAACATAATTGTAATGTAATAGTGTAATTCATTGTTGTTGTTCAATAAAAAAAAGGAAAAAATTACCAAGTGGAAAAGTGACTCAGAAGCTGCTGATGAGTTTGTCCATTGCAGGTAAGTTTGCCACTGGAAAGGATGAACAAGATACCCTGCCAAGAAAAATAGAGACTGTTATCAAAAGTGAATCGGACTGAGTGGAGTCCAATTCGATCTGATTCACAAATTAATTAACAAAATCGGACGACCGTGAAGCAGGAGTCCAATTTGTTTAATTGCAAATAATGATTACAGACCGAATTGGATGACACGACGTTCTGTTACCAATATTATTCAGGGTTTTCTCTAAGTTTTTTAGTAGCTGGAGCTTTTAAAAGTAGATGGTTTAGGGTCCGGAGAACCCATTACATGGTCTTTAGCCCGTCACTTCTAGGGGGCCTAGGAAATTTTTGAAAACTGAACGCCGGTAAACGCATTTCCTGTCATTTTGGGCCCTAAAACTTTGATATCAGGGATGACTTAACCAGAAATTGAGAATAAACTCTTACTGTCAAATTCATGTTGCTCAAAGGAAGGCATACACTGTAATATCCTTTTTCATCTCCACTTGCTCTGTATCTTTTATCTTCGATTGTTAGTATTAAAATAATTATTGAGGCCAACACCCACCTGGGGGAGGGGTCAGTTGAATGTTTGTTCTTTTCACACCACCCCACAGGGAAGATATTCCTAGAATTAGAACTGCACCACATGGAAGGCCGGCTTCCATCTCCGCAACTGATCATGCTGTCAATCTCCACCTGGAAGAAGAATTCACTGACAACTTTGGAAACTGTGGCAGCGCAGATCGACGATGGATCATTTGGATTCACTGCTTCTAGTTTCACTTCTGTTGTAAAGCCGTTGGGCATTGGTAAACCATCAGACTGAAAAAAAGTTGAGTGAGTGGTTTACAAATTGAGCTTCACCTACCAATAATGATAATACCATAGCCAGCAAAAATGTACAATCTACATATATTTCAATAGAGTGTACATGTAAGTGCAAACATGCAGGGCTGCAAATAACAGTCGGTCTTCGGACAATGGCCGACCAAAATTTAGCAATGTCCGATGAAATACCAACTTTGGTCGGACAATTTTTTTTGCCTTCCTGTTCCAATGCAAACGCTAACAAGTTTTATTATAAACGCAGTTTACTCTGCGACGGACAACACGTTAAATTTACCAGGTCACACTTATCAAGCAGTACTGTAATCGTGATGTCCGACCTCATTTTTGTTTTGTCCGACCAAAATGGTGACTTAGTCGGACACATGTCCTTTCAAGAAAAAAAAATTATTTGCAGCCCTGGACATGCATCCATAACTCAACAGTCAGCACACCGTGTATCATAATAAAATTAAATTATCATCAGTTTTATAGTGTACATGTACCTTACAGTGCGAGGCGCCTTAGCGTAGCCACCCAACAAAACATTTTTACAAGTGTCCTCTCATAATATTATAACTTTTGTTTATAAATACGATGTGACAGGTTTCCATTTCATCATGTTCAACTTTGCAAGGAGACATGTCTGTCAAAACAAATTTGTGCTCCCTGATGGTTAACTTGTAAAAAAGTTTGTTGGGTGGCTACACTAAGGCGCGTCACACTGAAATTGCACAAAGCACAAATATTATTAAGAGTATTCAGGAATTTTGATGAAAGCAAAACAAAACCTTTTTTACAGCCTTGTTGAGTGACACATCTTCGGCAGTCAAATTGCAAATACCGAGGAGCCTTCCCTCTGACTTGTGCCCAGTCCTTAGTGGGGTACTTTGCTTTAAGATCTTTGATACAAAGAAAATAATTTTGTAAAAAAAATTAGTCATTGAAAACACTCAGAACAAAATTCCAGGAATTTCCATGATATCAAGGACCTACAGTTTATGTTACAGTTCTCCAGGATGCTGTCATCTTCAGCGACAAAAAATTAATGTCTGCATCATTTTGTGCCAAAATACGTCAAAATTTAATGAGCTGACAGACAAGTATTACATGTTTTTGCCAATTTGAGAAACTTTGGCGAGACGTCGCGTGAAGGCCAGGCCGCTACACCATGTGGTCTTCCGCCATTTTGTGAGCAGAGTCGTGTAATGTTATTGTAATGAGTATTACGATGGACAGGTTTGTCACAAAATCGTTCGAATCTGTTCACACCCCGCCACGTGCCGAAAAAAGCTCAAATAAGCTAAAGCGCAAGACAAAATTTGACGAGAAGCAGTACGAGGCTGAGAAACGCCGAAGAGCCTTCCAACCCAGCTGGCTCGAGCTACAGCAGCAACTGCTACAGCCACATCCTCTTGGCAGCCAGTCTCGAAGCCTATTGGTATCTGCACAGTCTGCAACCATTTCCGAAACTCCAGCTAATTTTGATTTGACGTGCATGTGGTGGACATCAGCCTCCAAGTCAGCTGACGAGGAAATAGTTTAATTAATAATCTGAAAAAGTAAATTCTTATCTAGCTGCAGAGCTGTGAAAACATTTTGTTGAAAATAAGATAGAAGTTTGCGATGTTGTTGTTTATTTATTAAAATAATTTGTATCTGGAACCATAATCTTCCTGTTCAGTTGATGAAAGAAGAATGACGTTGTTATTAAATAAAATAACACAACTCAAAGGCCATTGTTAACAAATGTCATGTCTTTATTTTTGTTCTTATTTTATATTTGCAAAAATAGATGAGGCCCGAAGGGCCGAAATTGTTTTTGGCCTCTACTGCTTTCTATCATCGGACAACCACTTCATCCTGAGGGCAAGTGCTTTTTAGATGCCCACTTGCCCAGGGACAAGTTTAGTCAAAAATATTTGTCGGACCCTGTGTCACGCATTTAACATTGCAAAGTCTTTGTTTTCCATGAACAAAAACTCCAACGTGCATGGTTCACATTCGAATACTTTGATCTGGAAATGAAGAGAAAGAGTGGCCTTTCCCCTGATTAGTCTTGTGAAAACTTAATCGAATGATAACCTCTTAAACTTTGTTTTCTCAACTTGAAACTCTATAATTTATGTACATTACTTTTTGTACATGTAAGTGCTCATTAGACTCAAAACTTGAAGCTCTCAACTCGAGAGTTTTCAAGTTTCGAAAAACAAGTTTTTTGAGTTTGAGTGACTGTCGACTAACATTTGAATGGTACTGTAGCTGAAAAAAAAAACAGTTTCTTACCAAGAGGGATATTGAGTCTCAGTTTGTTTCTCTTCCCCCATCCCAGCTGATGTACATTGTCCGACAAGAAGTAAACCCACACATCATCGGCTTCATTTTCGGAACCTTCCAGACGCAATCTCAGCCTCAATCCATACGCCATCTACCACAGATGCAACCCAGTAACTGAGCGGGTCGTCTTTGTGCAGCAGTTCCAACTTGAGTCCTGGCTTTAGCTGATTTTCTTCATCTGGATCTGATCTCTGAAGAGAGGAAGGTTACAGAAAAGGTTAACCCTTTCACTCCCTGAAGAGTGCTAAGTTCAAAACTGAGTAAAAAGTCTTGAATTTTATTTTGGCAAAATTGTCAAAAACAAACAGTACCACATGAAAGTACTGCTCAATAGCTTTCACTTGAAAGGTCACACACTAGGGTTTCATCCACAGACTTAAAAGTTAGAACCACCTTGGTTGGTTGCCTACCCTATGGAGGGGTTGGTTACCTACCCTGTGGAACAGATGCGCTGGTGCACAGACAGCTCCTTTCAGATCTTGCTTCAGAAACTTGGCCCAGTTTGACTCCTTGTGTCTGATGGCTGAAATAATACACCAAGAAGAAACCCTCATAACATGTACAGTAGTGATAGCCCATAACCAAACTTAATAAGTTCGAATTCTTACAGGTACATGTATGTACACATACAGTGTACAGTAAGGTACAAGTTCACATTTCATTCTCAAGAGAGAAGATTCATTATACATGTAATTTCCATTTCTTTATAAAATGTTGAAGACAAACAGTGCCACAAAGTACTGGGCCCGGTTGTTCAAACGGTGGATAATGCTATCCACCCGGATAAATCACTATCCAGTGGATACATGTAAGTGTTAACAAAACAAACTATGCTATCCACCGGATAGTGATTTATCCGGTGGATAGCGTTATCCATCTTTTGAACAACCAGGCACTGCTCAATAGCTTTGGAATGGAATGGAATGGAATGGACACTTTTATTGCAACTCCCTACAAAGGCTTTCATTTGAATGGTCACACACTAGGGTTTCATCCACAGACTTAAAAGTTAGAACCACCTTATACAGCATAATAAACAGCACCACATTAAAGTACTGCTCAATAGATACTACATTGTGTACGCTGCATTTATTACTTAGTGGAAAATGGTTCTACACCAATCAGAGCACTTGGAGTATACATGTATGTACTTTGCTTATACTGTAAAACTATAAAAATATTATTTAAAAGAGAATCAAGCGCAACAAACAGCAAAGAGGCTTCACCTGCTGGAGGTATAAGTATATTGTTATTTTTCTGCACACCACCCAACATGTTGAAGTTCTTCAGATGCCCGCATCACACCAAAGTCTCCACTACGATCATCGTCATAGCCATCGTATCGGCAGAAGAATGCAGAGGCCCAGATGCCATGACAACTGTCGCGACCCAGTAGGTGTCTGTCTCGAGTGATGTGCGATCCATACATTCCAGCTTCATACCAGGAACAAACCCTTGGACTTTCGTATCTTGTACCTGCCGAATAAAACCGTGTCCATTGTGATATTTGGGAGATGAGGTGGCATAACGGTTAGTGCATTGGACTCTGGATCGAGCAGTCGCGGGTTCGAGCGCTGGCCGGGGTCAATAGAGAGTTTTAGATCCACGTTTGGTTAGTTAACCGCAAACCTCAAACTGAGGGTAGCAGTTTGCGGTTAGAATTTAGACGTTTTAGATTTACCTGAGGATATGCAGAAAAACGCTGAAGGAATCGACTTACGTGAAACTCCTTTTCGCGCGGCTCAAACGTGAACGGCAAATGGCAAACGTGACCTCAGGAGTCCAGTCAAGTGATGCCTAGAGGTTTGCGGTCACAAGTATGAAAAAACAAACCTCGATCTAAAACTCTCATATTGTGTTGTGTTCTTGGGCAAGACACTTGACTCTCACAGTGCCTCTCTCCACCCAGAGTATAAAAGGGTACTGCGACAAAAATAAATGCTGGGGGTATAATTTGTATATGTAACCTGTGATGGACTAGCATCCCATCCAGGGGAGTAGCAATACTCCTGGTCGGCTTCATGCTTAGTACAGAAACTGGGATAAGCTCCGGCAGTGTGGGCTCAGTTTGGCTCGAGTCGCTAGGAGTATTTCTACTCCCCCTGGATTGGATGTGAGTCTATCACAGGTTAGCCCCTCGCTCAGCGAAGTGTTTGTCAGGTCTAGCCCTGACAATTTTTCCTCCGGTTACCCATGTATACTCCTCTGTGGGAGGGGCCACTGCCAAGTAGAGCAAAGTACAGTATCTTTGCTTGTCAAAGAACACAATGTTAGGGTGCTGGCCCAGGGATTGAACCAGATCTATTGATCCACAATTCACCTATACTTGTCACTAACCATTAGATTTTTGCGCCATTCACATCTCCTTACTTACATGTAACGTAGTAGAAGGGTATTAAAAGCCGCACTTGGGCCAACGAAGTGGGCTGCACACTTCTACCAAGCAGCTTTTATCCCGGTTTTCCACAAGTCATGAAGCTAGGGCTGAGGAGTATTGCCCGTTCCGAAGTATCACAAAAGGGACTAGGGCACTAACAAGTTTACGCAATTGGTTCAAATTACGTCATAGTGAAAAATTTTAATTCCCATCACCAGAAAGATCGCCATGAAAATGAGTAAGTTCACCAAGTTTGGTGTATGTGTACATTACATAGTAACTGTCAGGCTGTGCAGCTGTTCAAAGGTCGTCCTAAGGGATTCCATACAAACGTCTCCTAATTCAGAAGATGCAGTCCCCAAATCCATACAAAAGTCTCTAATTTTTCTGATTTTTGAAAGCCTTCTACATGGTTGAAAATCCAACGAAACAACCCAAACTTGGTAAACCGACTAATGTTTAATGTGATCTTTCTTGTGATGGGCTCGCCAATTTTTTAATTAAACTCAAAATTTAAAAACTCGTCCCCAGTCTCCATTTGAACTTCGGAACGGGCAATTGCATACTTCCCCTGGATGCGGATGCTAGTCCCATCGACAGGGTACCTCCAGCATTTTGTCATTGCGTACCCATTTCTACTCCGTGGGTAGGAGAGAGGGACTTTGAGAGTGAAGTGTCTCCCCAAGAACACGAATATAATGACCCTAGTCCAGTGCGTAAACCTGGACCACTCGACGCACACCATTAGGCCTCCATTGTCTCCCATCACTTACCAAGAGTATACAGTGAGTGCCGATAGCCTGTTTTCCAGGTGTTCATTCCCCCTCTCCAAGTCTC